GGAAGGAAGGAAGGAAGGAAGGAAGGAAGGAAGGAAGGAAGGAAGGAAGGAAGGAAGGAAGGAAGGAAGGAAGGAAGGAAGGAAGGAAGGAAGGATTTGTGCTTTTTGATGATCACAAATACTTGGCCTTTGACGTGTAGCATCTGGCAGCTGATCATAAATGGTAGCATTTTGCACAAAATGCTTGGTGACTGTTAACTTTACAACCCTGATTTAAGATATGCTGTGATTCTTGTTGATCAGTGTCTCCCTCAATGCCCTTCAAGTCACCAGTGACCTTGTAGCATCGAGGGCAGATCTTATTTGGTGACTGCTTCCATAATACCTTTTCCAGCTGGATGAGGACCCACTACAGGCAGCTGTGGCCTAAGCTGCCAATTCGCTGATGGGGACAGGACTGCCAATAAGTGTAGAGCAGGGAGGTGGAAGAGAGAAGTAGGCAGGCCGTGGGAGTGATGCTATCACAGAGTCAGCATCCACAGGTCAAAGATTTTGAGACCCTGCCACTAGAGACATCTTATTGCTGTGTGTAAAAATACAGCTAGCTTCCTTCTCCGTGTAGAACCTCACCAGAAGTTTTGGTACCTCATAAGCAATGGCATTCAGTTCCTCACATTACATATGCTCCATAGGTTATTCTCCTAAAAAAAAAAATGGGAAGGACACTTGGTCCTGCTGAAGTCAAGAAAGGTTAGAATTTCACTGCTGAAGCATTTTTTTTTAAATATTCATAAAGTTTATAACATTCTTAACCACGATGAAGCTACCAAGCATTAAACCAAGTCTGCCTAGCAGATCCACCATTTTGCTTCCCTTGCCATGTGGATATCACTGCTATGATTAGTATAGAATGGCTTTGAGGGGTCGAAGACCTGGAGTGGGACTGGCAATAATAAATACTATTTCTATTGCTAACAGTAAATGCTAAGCCACTCTTTTGGTCTTGTTTGCAGTAAGAATCATGAGATTAGAGTAATGAAAGAATTCTCACCCTAGCAGAGCTAGGAGTGATATTGGAATCTAGGAATGGAGGATAGAGTGTGTATGGGGGAGATTCCACCTCAGCTCTTTCATATTAAGCAAAATAATCAGTACAAGCCAAAAAAAAAAAAAAAAAAAAAAAAAGAAAGGCCTTAAATGACAAACCAATCATACCTATAGATGCTGCATGCATCTTTGATGTGAGAAGATTTGCTGCATTCATGAACTTTGGCAATCTATCTGTTTACAGAAACTATAGAATATGTCTCAGGTCCAGCTAAATTGTAAAATATATTTGTCTCCATTAAAGTGTGTCTTAAATCACTAGAAAAGGCATTTACTTAATCCAACCTAAGCTCTAGCTGAGACCCGCACTTATATAAACAATATTTAAATACTACGTAAGGAGCTGTTGGTTCACACTGGAAGGCCAGCTGTGGATTAAGAGGAAAATTTGAGGTCAAGGTTAAGAAGGAGGTTATACTGCAGAGATAATGAAGTAACAGAGTTGTGAGTTCCCCACTGAGATAGACTGATACATCTATGGGAGATATATATGAAGGTCTCTCACTCATACACAGCATGTGTTTATAGGTCATGCTGGATTGCCACAGCAGTGACTTTTATCTTGACTGCAAATATCTATCTGCACATTTAATGGTATCATTTAGGAGGTGTCCTTTAAAATATTAATCAAAAAATAAAATGATAAAATATGTATGCAGACACTTTGTATATACCTAAATGTATTACATTAAATTACATTATATTACATTATATTAAATATTTCTAAATATATTACACATATCCACATATATATACATGTATAAAACAAACAACATGCATTGAAAAGGAGAGGTTTTAGTATAAAGGAAAAATTTTTACTATCATAAGACGTTTTCTGAAAATCATTTTGAAGGAGTTAACATTAGAGAGAAACTATGAATATTTGTTTATGTCTCTGTTCCTTCTTCAAGTTTATGCATGTTCAGCATGCGTGTATCTAGCATTTTCCACCTTGCTTTAAGATTGCATGCAATATTCATCTTTGTGATGTGAGGCAGAATATTGTTGAGATTGGACAGAATATGGTAGACTAAAGTCCTGCTAAAGCAAAGGACTTTAAGTAAGGAGAAAAGGAATTAACCTGGAAGCTTTTCTTGATATTAGAGACAATGAGAATTCATTGACGATAGGTCACTTTTTAAAGAAAATAAAAGAGCTTCTGTTATATTTGTGTTACTATTCACTTTAACAAAATGTTTTATTTTTTTAAGATCAGGTGATCTATAGCCCAGCACCTTCGATATGAAATATATTCCTAGGTGGAAGCACAGGCAAAGCAGAAAGGCTTTGTTACACTGAACTTCTATATGGGATAAACTTTGATTCACATAGCCCTATATGATGTTGTTTAGGTTTAATCACAGTGAATGTCCTAAATTCAGGCCTTGAGTGTGTGTAAAAGAGATTCTCATGGACCAGAAATCTGCATACCGATGCTGTGTTCCAGCAAGTCTGATGCCTTCATTAATATAATTTTATTTTCCAATTACAGGCTCTAATTTTTCTTATAGTCGGCATAATCTTTATGATTGGAAGTATGACTCTAATTGTAATGGACTGGATTTACAATCCTCCGAGTTCCAGACATCACTAACCTGTGAAGACATCTAAGTACTTTTTATACCATAAATATTTGTATTGTGTGCTCCAAAGGACACCTAAATGGGAATGTTATCCTTCCTAATAACGGTTTGTAGTAACCTCCCTACAACCCAATGGAGTACTACATCATCCTTTCCACTGAGGATTGTTATTTATGCATTAAGAACCTGAGCTTAGCATTTCTGCCCAGGTTAGATGAAATGTGTGGTGTGGATGCTTTCTATTTTTGAAACCGAAGTAAGAGTAATTGTGTATAAAGTCCTCAAAAATAGCTTGGTGTCACCCTTTCCACCTCCTCCCTTCATGTTAATAACTACAGTTCCTAGAGCACTGGAAATGTAATGGCCAAAAAACTCACTCGTGCCTTGTTTTATACCTGAAATGCATAGGAGAGGCTGGCTTCAAGAGACTCTCTGGGTGAGCTCAAAAGTGGCTGCTGCCCGCTGATCGGTCCGTAAGAAAGCTGTCATCAGCTTTGGTGAGCCAGTAGGCAAAGCTGAGCATCAGATTTTGCCCAAATTCGTCACCCCCATCCCGTTGTGGCTGCCTTGTAGTCAGCTCTCTGCAAGGAGACCTGGCGCTGGGGCACGAGCTTAAATAACAGTTGTGCATTCAAGGTGTTTTGTTGTTGAAGACACCCGTGCTGGAAACAACAGGCACTTCTGGTGTGGGTTTGGGGGGGTTTCCCTACATGTTTTTAATTCTTGTGTGAGCTTGCACCACCGAACAAGTTGTATCCTCCACAGAAACTTGTCTTCCATTCTCACAGGAGTTCTAGGAGACCACGAGGTGTGGCAAAGCACACTGTCCAGTATTGTTCAGTACTTGTGTGTTTGGTAAATGTTCAGTGTGGGAAACTGTAATTTGCTATATATATATATATATAAATATACGTATATATATATTTATGTACATAATCTTTCGTTTTCCTCCAATTATCAAAATGTTATCCTGCGGTGCATTATTTTGGGGTTTTTTTTACAAGTATCACACTGTTTTCATAGCCACACATTTTCTATCGTTTCAAAGAAAACATTGGGCTTGATGGGTTTGTAAAAGGTCCCATTTATTCAACAGTGTTTAAAACATACAAGCCCTGCCCATTTTCAGTGTAGAAGGAAAATCAGATGTTTACTACATACGCTGCAATAAACTGCAAGATGCTTTCCTCTTGAGAATTTTTAATATGTGCCTCAAAGTTCTGTGTTATCATTGCAAACTACAAATCTGGGTAAGATCTGTTGCTTTCTTAGTTGGCATATGTAAATGCTAGCATTCAATGGCATATATAATTAAGCTATGTAAATGCAAAGACATTACTGGTTATCCCAAGTGTAACATGCTATGCAGCTGTGCAAGACTGAAAGAAAACATGAAGTTCCATGTGATATGGATGACTAATTAACACTTATTTACCCTGCAGGTTGGGATTTTCGCTGGGCTGTGGGATGCTCTGTACTCACCAAGGAAAAACAGTCACATTTCTTCTGTAACATAGGGAGCACATGGGGAGGCCTCACAGTTAGGTAGAACATGCTAACACATATCCAGGCTTAGATAATCAGGCTTTTCATTCTCCAACTTAAAGACCTACTGAGTGAATTCTGAAAGAAAGAAAACACACAAATTTGTCTCTGTTCATGACTCACCTTTGTATGACATTGTGTGTGTGTGCATGTGAGTGTATAAATGTATGTATACATAAAGGTTAACTGAAAAAGCATCTCAAATAGTTATTCCTCACTGACCACTGTCTTTCTGAGCAGTATTTTATGCTCACTTAAGTACTGTATCCTTAATATATTGGGGCATATTTGCTGGTGAATACTAAGTTTGGTTTTGCACTTGTAGAGAAAAAGTCTGCAATTTTGCTCTAGTTTAAGCAGACTAATGCAAATAATGTTGCATTAATACTGAAGAGACCTTTAGCATGGACTAGAGTTAACAGGAATACACACATGCACTTCTCGTTGATGTTATTGAGAGTTACATGTATGGAATAAATGAGCTGTAATTCCATTTTTGTTTTAGTATGCAAGCACATGTAGTAACTGTGGTTGCATTTTGTAGCCTACATAAAATGTTGACAAAATAAAGAGATGTAACAGAAAAAAACTACAGGCAACAGCAACAAGTTACTGCTTTTTCATGGCACAAAAACTGGTGGTATCACACAGTGAATGACCTTACATAACAGAGTTACAGAATATCTGTAAAAGGCCAGATTTTAAAGCTAAAGTGTATACTTACTCACAGCGTTATATAGTAAGGGGTAGTAAGGATACTACAGGGAGTAAAGATAGTATTGTACACTAACTTATTTAGCATTGCTCGGGATGATGGATGTTGGAGTTTCTTGTTCATTTTGTAATGTTGACAATAAGTCTTGTTAGAATTTTTATTACAAACTATTGATACACAATAAATGAACTTTTCAAAGACTGAAGATTTTCTTTTCTTCTGTTTCAGCCTAGCAGGAGAAGGCTTTTTTTTTTTAATGTACATCTGGCAAACTGGTGATGCTTATCATGAGCATCACTAAAACTGCATTCCCTTTTAAGAGAGAAACTTGTGTATCCATAAATACACAGATGAGAGTAAAAGAGCAGACATCACAGTCTCTCCATAGAAAAACCCTTTTACATTCCCTGTTTTGCAGCTATTCATAGAGATTCACAGACATCACCAAGTAAAGAATAGCTGGCATTAAATCTGGAGTTATCTGCAAGACACTGTATGTGTTGTTCTCTGGAGCATGGGATTAGTCAGGATACACAATATAAGAGCTAAGTATAGTCACTATTAGGAGTGCACACCAGATGGTACTGCTCTATATAAATACTTCCCATAATTGCAGCTGTAGGTTATCCTGCTGTTACATATTTGTCTGGTGTATAATCATAGCCCAAAATATACAGGTCTATATGTTGCTCCGGCACTGATGATCTCATACGAGAACCACATTCCCAGCCTCGGCAAAGCAGGGTTTGTAACCTGTCTCATGAGAAGACATGTAACCCTACTCATGAGAAAGGCATTGAGGACCTGGACACTTGCTAAATAAACACCTAATGCCTGAGGCTCCATGGACCGAGATCCACATGCAGCTGCCACGAGCAGGGGGGTCACCACATGTACTGTAAAGCCTCCATCCATCCTCAGAGTCAACACCAAAGATGTGATCATTGCTGGCACCTCAGCGCTGTGGTTCACAACTCAATCCAAAGTGCTTTAATTAGGGGGCCACCCTGGAAGATTAACACGTGTTGTTGCTTCTGCCATCTCTGCTTCTAGCACTCACTTCCAGCTAAGAGGAAAATGATCCTGGCATGAATCTTGACTGGTGGCACCCGCATTGCAAAGAACAGCTGCTCTCAACTTTGCCTCACTCTTCCTCCTCCTCAGTTAGCTTGGAGGCCACACTGCACCACTGCCAGACCTGCTCTTGTCCAGGACTGCAGTTCTTGTCCAGTCACTGCATCCTGGACAGAAATTCTTCGCAGATTTTTCTTCTAAACTTTCAGTTAGGTATCCTTAATTCTCTGCAACATTTACTTGTGCTATCTTGATTCTTAAGCTGTAAATTCCCTGCAGCGGGAGTTTGTTTAATTAAGTAATTAATATCGTGGGAAGTGAATGAAGGAAGTTAAAGAAAAAGAAAAAACATGCTTGCAAGGACAAAATATACATATATATATAAATTCTTTTATTTTATTTCTATTATAAAATTTCTTTTTTATGTGTATATATAATATATAGATTATATATATAATATATATATAATAATAATAGCATAGAGGTGTGTTTTTTAACAGAAATGATATGAATGCCAGGAATGATACAGAAATATAGAAATGATAGATAAATATTTCAGTTCTGGCTTTGGAAAAAAAGCAGAACAAGGGACACTCATTAGAGGGCAAAGTCGTCTGTAGTCCATAAATAATCAAAGATGATGTTAAAAAACCTCTATCTGAATAGAAAGGCAGCAGGCTTAGATAAGAGACAAAAGCAGCTGGCTCCCTGGTGTTAATTTTCAGTAAACGTTGGCATGCTTCGCTAGTTCTCAGTGGCTGACATAATAATAATTAGAGCTAGTCAGCAATTACTCACTAAGAGGTTCAGTCAGTGGTATTGATGGAAAATTTCTATGACTTTAAATTTCAGTGGAAGTTTTACTGAAAATGTGCCATTGCAACAAATTCCTGACAGAAGCCAGGCAGACTCTAATGGAAACCTGCCTGGTTTTCCATTAAGCCGTCTGGCAGGGAGATGAAGGCTTCCAGGAGTTGTAGCTTCTGCCCTCCACAAGCCCTGGAAACTGGATTCTCCCAAGGCTATCTATCTGGTGGCTTGATATAGGGCCAGCGTGCTGACACCGAGCCCGGCTAGCCCTGATGCTTTGGATTGGGGTCTGGGGTGAGCTCAGGATCGCAGATTTTCCTGCTGTGGAGCTTGTCCTCAGAGCTGCTGTAACAATCCCTTCAACACTTTCAAATGCTGTAAAAATGCTTCCCAGTAGCATCCTGCAAAAAATACATTCTGGAGAACAGAAGTTGCAGCTTCTATTTAATTAAATCAGCACTTATCGCAAATAGTTTATACTCTTGTACAGAACTTGAGTGATAAAACTGTGTCCATAAGAGTGTAGGAGACACAAAGCTGAAAGGGATCTCAAGTAACTTTATACTCCAGACCTCTTTCATGGGTTAAATAACAGTGTTAGATTCATGCTTACAAGTGCATTGCATTCAGCTGCCTCTATCAAACATTCAGTAAACTCCACAGCGGAAAAAAATTGCAGTGCTATCACAGTTATTAAAAACCATAAGGAGCTCTTGTTTCCAGACACACAGGAGACACTCTTGACAAGCCAGAAGTCTGCCAGCATCTGCCCTCCGTGCACTGAGTCACTGTGGAGAGCTCACAGCTTGTCACATGCAGCTGGTTCAGGCATCACTTCAGAGCGCTACAGAGCTGCAAAGAACCTTCACTGGTGGAGTATAACAATAAAAACATCTCCATAATATGGATCCTAAATTCCTTGTGCCAATGTGGTGAGCTAAGTTTTAAAACTAATGCACTGTATAATGATAAATAGCTCTAGAAATCAATGCACTGTCCTAATTTTGCTACATAAAATGAGATGGAGACCTTGTTCTGTTACTAACAATAAAGCAAACATGTTTGTCTCTCAAAAGAGGTCAAAGAAATGCAATGGGACGCTTGCTTGGCTAGGACTCTCTGGGACACATTGAAATAAACGTTTCAAGTTCCGCACATTCAAATGGAGAGGACTCACCGCATTCACTCATCTACGCAGCATGTGCCTCAGCTGGTACAATCATCTTAAGACTCGGGAAAGCTACCCTGCCCTAAGTAGCAGATTATTTATATTTAACTTATTGCCTAGTTATTTATTCCCAATAGTACCTCCTCTTAGGCAGGAAATGACAGTTGTATGCGTGACCCTGTTTTCTCTATCTGAGCAGAGTGAAACTTCTGCTTCTTCCATCACAGACCATCTGACTCAACTCCTCCTTTACCTTTTGAGGATGTTGT